TTGTACATTTACAAACAACAGGAAAAATTTTCATTTTGAGCATATTAATCATAAAAATGGTTAAAATAAGAATATTAGAATGAACTTCCTACATGTAAATACAAAACACTGTCAACAAACCTGGATAAAGGCCCCCGATTCTTCCTGTAATTTATCGTCATGTTTAATTTCCACATCAATGGCTTTGTCACAATCGATCGATGCTAGTTCAACATCAGTGGTGTTACTCATATATAGATTACCATGGAATGAAGTCGGTCGAATTCCTGTACTTGTACGTACTCTCATTATGGCATCAAATGCAATGGGTCGCTCTATGTCGCGTGTTAAATCGAAAAGAAATCTTTCACCATCCGATGCCGCCTACGGAAATGAGAAATAATTAAAATATACAAAAATGTCAACAGTTTTCCTCTGTTGTTGGTTTCAACGCTGATATCGCAAATTGCAGTTTCTTATGATTGCATTCAAACGAAGGATATTAAAAAGCATGGTTGAATCATCTAGTCATTTTAAAATCGCAGTAAAAAGCACATTTTCGTTAATCAACTGTGAGACCCATATCAATCAGGTTATGGTGATGAAATATTTAAATAAAATGAAAGTCTGTGGTACATCAGCTATTGTGAGTACCAGGGAAGAAACACTGAATATTAATTTTTAAAACAAGCAGCCTATCGGCTGAGATAGCTCCGCTGTTAGCAATGCACATTTCAATTAAAGAACTGAAGACATCATTAGAAAATGAACAATATGTATAAAATCAAAGCAATCGGACTTACAGTTTTTAACAAGAAGTCGAAAATATCACTTTTTACCAAAAATTACAAAAATATTCACCAAAATTAGAGAATTGAAGATATCATCACAAAATGAACAAATCTGAGAAAGGTCTACATTTAGTATCTATACATGTAATATCAAAGCAATTGAACTATTGGTTTTTAACAAGAAGTCGAAAATATCACTTTTTACCAAAAATTACAAAAATATTCACCAAAATTAGAGAATTGAAGATATCATCACAAAATGAACAAATCTGAGAGAGGTCCACATGTAGTACCTATATATGTAATATCAAAGCAATTGCACTTGCGGTTTTTAACAAGAAGTCAAAAATATCACTTTTTACCCAAAATGACAAAAATATTCACCAAAATTAGAGAATTGAAGATATCAACATGAAATGAACAAACCTAAGAGAGGTCTACCCAAGGTACATATACACCAAGTATCAAAGCATTCAGGCTTGTAGTTTTCAAGAAGAAGTCGAAAAAGTAAAACATTGACACGGACAACGACGGACAATCACTCATATGATAAGCTCTGCTCGACTTTGTCGACAGCGGAGCTAATAAAATGGTGTTAATGAGAAACCCATGATAGCAATAAAGATATTATGATATCAGGCATTTGAAATCACATGCATAAAGTGCCTATCTCCATGGAGTGATAAAATACAGGACATGTCAAACATGCATATCATTAATTAAACACACCACCAACGTTCATTCATTGGTTACAACAATTAAAAAAATCCTAGCTAATTACACCAAATTCAAATCAAAACTTACCGTAAAGTAATTATATTTAAAACATTGTCCGCCTGTAATTGTACAAACTTGACCAATAGTAGCAAGATCCAAATACGCATTGGGGAATAAAAACATATCTACACTACACCCAGCTGCCACACAATTCTGAGCTACTTTGCTGTAATATGTGGTTTGTGGTTGTAAAACAAGCTGTAAGAGAAAAGAAAAAGAAATTAGGAGAATTAAATATTTCACTAGAAAGTGATATCCAATCATAAGGCACCATCAAAGAACATATGACCCTTATTAGTCAATTACAATTGTTTTTACTACAAAAAAAATTGAAAATCTGTATTTTGTTCCTAAAAAGCACATCTCGCTAATACAAATGTAGATATGCAAAAAGATCAAAAATGTTGGAACATTTATCATATTATCCAATTAAGAGGCTTGTTACAAAAGCACTTTAGTATCAACAGCCAATTACCTTTTCTTTGTCTGAGCCTAATAATTTTCTATCATCTCTGTTTTTTAATCTCCCTGGAGCCTCCGCAATCGGCAAAGAAGAGTGGAAGATAAAAATTTTACCCGCACAGTCCGCAGCCTAAGATAGAACACATAACATAATCAGGTGATTACATCGGAGGATACAAGAATGCAATTCTTATTATCCCTCGGTAACTGAAGTCAAAATTGTCATCAGTGGTTTCGCATTATGGGTATATGTAATATAAATATTAATGTTTCTGTTGTGTTGATACATTTCAGGTACATATGAAGTTTAAATAATTTAAATGTAGTAGTTGTTACATAACTGTATATTATTCAGAAACTTTGTAATGACATGACAAAGCAATCTTAATATATTAAATTTAATAAACGGATAGAAATTCTCATTCCATGCAAGTTTTTCATTCACAGAAATCGATTGGGTCGCAAAGAATGTATGAATAACATGGATACAGCAATCTAACAGCCGTTTGGCTAACCAAATATTTTGGGGATTAGTAAAACTCACTTATAGCATCACTGTCTATGGCTACTTGTCTTGTGTCAATGATCAAACGCAATATATTCAAGATTATCTCATTTGCATATTTAGGAAGTCATGTGACATTCTCACCTTCAATGCTGCGAGTCCTGCCTCTATAACTGGACCGAGCATAGTTTCCGTTTCCCTGGTGTCTCTGAACATCACTGGTATCTGTTCAAGTAAGCTGTTGCACAAAAGCAATAAACAAACATATATTGAAGCTCAGACATAATTGGTCTCCAAACAAAGTTTGATAAGTTGGCGTAGCAACGGCCTAGATGACTTTGTACAACCTCAAAATTCTACCCATTTTGATACTGGGTATTCTGGAAGGAGGGAGTGAATATTGCCGTCAATTCAGAGTCCTCTAATGGATATCCCATTGTAAGTGTGACAACTTACAATACAACTTTCTAGGGACTATTGTATGAAATATTTGACGGTCTAAATTTGTGCACATTGTGAGAAAGGATTCTCTGGGATTATTTTTGGAATCTATTCGACTTGAACGGTAATCAAAAGCATCAGCAAAGAAAATTAGAACATAAAATAAAATGGTAAGCCGAAACAATTGCTCGCACTGAGACATGCCGAAACAATGGCTCGCATTGAGACATGCCGAAACAATTGCTAGCATTGAGACATGCCGAAACAATTGCTAGCATTGAGACATGCCGAAACAATTGCTAGCATTGAGACATGTCGAAACAATTGCTAGCATTGAGACATGCCGAAACAATTGCTCGCATTGAGACATGCCGAAACAATGGCTCGCACTGAGACATGCCAAAACAATTGCTAGCATTGAGACATGTCGAA